ATGATTTCCCTGACTTTTTCAGAAGCTCAAAAGTTCCTTTGCAATTATAGCTTTTTTAGGTTGGTAGACACCCTGCTAATGTCAGTAGGTATGCTTGATTTAGCTGCACCCACCTGCATGGTGCAGAAAGTGTACAGTGCAGGGCAATGTAATTACGGTATGCATTGTCCAGGATTAAAGGCATTTCACATAATGGAACAAGGACAGACACCACAAGTGGTTCTGTCCTCGTCCTTTTGTTACAATATTTCGATCCTGGAGACCAAACACAACAAGCCCCTAAAGAGTCCTCAAGATAGTCTGCACCAACAAGTAGGATACAGTGATGTACATACACTGAGAGTACCAGTGCAGGTGGTGTAGGCAAATCAAACATACCTACTAACATGACATGATGGTTACTCCTTTTCTTAATAGTTGGGCAAAAGGCTGGCAAATAACCTGTTGCCTGACCGCATGACAACAAATTTTGACAAGACATTGTCTGCTGAGACAATCCTCACATTCTGCTTAGAATAATACTCATTTACATGGGTCACATGAAGCGTTCTTGACGAGACATACTCTTCAAGAAGTAGCACACAGCGGTGAACACCATTTTCCTTGTATACACAGATTTTCAATATTTCTCCACCCAACCCGTTTTTCAATTGTACAAAGGAATTATTGCGACGCTTGCATTTACCATATTCTTTAGAGTGCAACAACTCACCTCCTGCAATCACCCTTTTATACACAGTACAGACACTGCCAGGTAAAACAACAGAGCTACCAAAAAAATTGTGGCTACTTCCATGTTTTAAGCCTTTGCTAATAAGGTGGCATTTCTCCACCTCAATTGTATGCACTAAGCGCTTTGACCCAAGCAAGCCCTCACAAAACTCTTGCACTGTTTGTTGCCTGATGTAGCATTTAACGAAGTAGTACACAGAGCGGTACAAAAGATAACTCTTGGCTATTTGCAGAGGTACTTTTCGTGTCCCTTTTGCTAATTTTAAAAGAAAGCCGTTTGCAGATTCATATGCAAAAGCAGAATGGGCCCATAACGGGCCCCACTCTTTTACGCTTTTCGGCAGATGAGTGAGAAGATGGACGTTATATGTCATTGACGTTTTCGTGTACAACTCTTGCATCCCACAAACAAACTCGGTCAACATAAGGTCGGCATTATTCACATCTGTATGCGTCACAGAGTCCTTGAGCAGAGCATACACACTCTGTGAAAGCAAAGCAAAATGTTTAAGATATTTTCTTGGAAGAATGCCATCCAGGCAAGGAAAAGCATAGTACAACAACCAGCATTTCCACTCCGACGCCTTCCAGAACCGTCGCTCAGAAATGGGCCTTGGCAGTCGAGAAACAGTTTTGGGGGGAAACATCCTTTCTAATCTCTTGTTAATTTTAGCTACAGTCGAGGGCTCTCCAATATAAAACTTTTCACCAACAGACGAGAACCATAGCTCTGCTAGTTGCCGTACCACCCCAAGAAGGACAGCATGCATGTAGTCTGGTACGAACCCAGATACTATCCCAAACTTTGGCATGTTTATCAATGCAGACGGGCCCTTGACACCAAAAATGGTTGTCTTCGTTACAAATGCTTGTTCCATTTCCTTTTCCATTGTCTCATTAGTCCTGTCGGGGTAGCATTCTGGGCCTACAGGGTACTTGACAACATTACCTACGTTCTCACCAGGGTGGTAACACCACCCACAAGAATAATAGCCATTGAACTGCATTAACTTTTGCATCGCAGGACGAGCAACGCTGTCTACGCAGCAACAGGTTGCAACGAATTTACTATTAATAAGGGTACCATCAACATGCTTCCATGTAACTCCTATTGTAGCCAGATGCTTTGCATCATCGACAAACGACTTCAGAAACATATCCATGTTTGGTTCCCCCTTACCATACCACAAGCCTGCCAGCAGCAAATTCTTTTCCCTGGACACTGGTGGTAGTTCATTTAGCATGATATGAATAGGCCACACAGAGGCACGGGAAGATTTGAACACTGGAGCTCCATCAGTGTTAAAAGAAAATGAAAAATTGTTACAGAAAGACAAGAGGCCACCAGGTTTGGAAAGTTCCTGATACAGAGTGCCATCAAAGATGTCTTCAAGACAGGATATATTTTTGTGTTTCTTTTCATTCCTGTATTGAAGTTCCTGGACCAACCCTGGTTGATTTTCCAACATGAACTTTAGTTGTGGTGCAAGGGGTAACATGAGAAAGTAGGGTGAAGTTGTCACTGAAAATTTCTGGTGGCAATGTGGACATGTTGACTGTTGCAAACGTAGCTGCTCTCGGATGCCAACATATCCTAGACAATACTCACAGTACATGTGATACTGCATCATGAGGGAGGGACTGGAAAATGCTTTGTTGAACAGGTACTTTGTACTAGGCAGGATGTCCTTCTGGAACACGACATTGAAGAGCTGCAGGATGTCAACCAAGGCTGACACAGTAGGCCGGTGCTTTGCAAGAAATGACAGCAGAAGAACAAGCACTTCCGCTACGGTCGTTGTTGTACATTTGCAAATTTGAGTAGTCAAGTCAAAACCCTTGACGCTGAATGCTGATGGTGCATCAGAAACATGTTCAGTAGGAGAGCCAGGCTGCTCTCCTTCGCTCTGAATGTCCTTCTCTTCGCACTCTGAGCTCCCCGGAGAGCTAACTGAGAAGCTCGAAAGGCTGTCTGCGCTGCACGGAGACTCGGCCTCCTCACACATACTTTCAGTTTGCGGAATTTCACCCGAGAGCAACACCGGTGACATTTCAGCCAAAGAAATCTCACTCTGTCGAGAAGTTGGCCCACTGCAGTCTGTCTCACTTAGGTGGCCAGTGGTCAAACAAGCTTCAATCCCTTGTCCAGAACATGGCGGACCCTATAAAAGAGTGTTTACAGCAACAAATAAAAAAAAGGCAATATACTGTCTCACATCAAATAGCATTGGGCATATCATCAACACCAATGCGAGCAGTATCAGGCACTATATTTTGCAAAAGACCTTCAGAGCGCAACACATGTGCTGGTGCAGCAAACTGTCCTTCGGAAGCCATTTGGCACCATGGTCGCTGACAGGCTGAAGCCACACGGGAAGCTGCGCCCCTCTCTTCCTCCTCCACCTCCACCTCCACCCACCCACCCCCTTCACTTCCCCCCCCCCGCCCGCCCCCCCCGCCCGCCCCCCGCCCGCCCCGCCCCCCCCCCCCCCCCCCCCCCCCCGGCAGCAAAAACTTTCTAGCCTTGATAGCACAAGCATGAATGCGTAACCGAAGCACACTTGTGCTTTGGCGCTTCGGAGGTAACGAGCGTCTACAGGAGGTAGAGCTTCTGCAGCACTCTACCCCACACCAACCAACCGTACATGAGACCCATTTCAGTGCTCAGGAGCAGACATACTCATATCTACAGGGTGAAACAAGGAGACGGCAGGCTCTTTAAATCGACCGGAAAATTCGGTTTCTTAACCTATCGCGCAACGACTTTGTGCAGCGTTGCCCACAGATGGTGCATTTTTTTTTTGTAAAATTTGCAAAGAGCGAACTTACCTGAGGAAAAAGTAAAGAAAGAAAAAGGCTTAGCTCCGACGGAAACTCAGCGACGCCACCGGTCTTCAAACAACACGGCGCCGTTTCGCACGGGACACAAGAGATGGCGCAACGAACGCCGTCAACGAACGAGCACACGGCGCCGAGTGCCAGCGTCAGCAGACAATCTTTTCGACTCAAAAGCAACACTCGTTCCGCAGGCGGCGACAGTCGCAGAAACAAAAACAGACGCGGTAACAACGAGGAACTGCAGTTCCTTGTCTGCTAAATACGCCGGCTCTCGGCGTCGTCTGCTCGTTCGTTGGAGGCAGTTGGCGTCGCGACCGCTTGCGCCATCTCTTGTCTCCCGTGCGCAACGGCGCCGTGTTTGAAGACCGGTGGCTTCGCTGCGTTTCCATAGGAGCTAAGCCTTTTTCTTTCTTTACTTCTTCCTCAGGTAAGTTCGCTCTTTGCAAATTTTACAAAAAAAATGCACCATCTGTGGGCAACGCTGCACAAAGTCGTAGCGCGATAGGTTAAGAAACCGAATTTTCCGGTCGATTTAAAGAGCCTGCCGTCTCCTTGTTTCACCCTGTAGATTAAACCAGCAGTCGAGCGGGAAGGCACGTGAAAATTATGTTTCATGCTCTGAAGAACGTGCTCTTGCAGGGCATCCTCCTTCCCCACAAGATGGACCCCATGAAACAGATGCTGTAAAACTATTGCTGCTCGCGAGCCACAATTTCACTAATTAGAAAAGATTTAGAACTTAGTTTAACCGTACACAAATAATCCAACCTTTAAAGGCCTGGATTTGGACCCCTGGAATAGCCTGCACCAACATAATTTGATCCTCTCTGGTGGTGGTGCATAGCCTTTACAGTACTAATTCTACAACCAAAAAACAAGCGTTACCAGCGGGCGGAAACGAGTCGGCGCAGCTTCCAGTGCATTAACGGCACGCTTTCACCACCAGCAAGAAGAGCAGCTTTGACGTCACGTGCAAGCCATGATGGTCCCAGCCGGATTTAAAAAATATAAAGGCCGCACAATAAAAACGTTTTACAGTATTTGACAAAAATTAAGAAAGCTTGAACATGAGAAAGAACGGCACGCACAGTATGAGTTTAGGTTATAGGGACATTATATGTTCGATCGAGTAGCACCACACGTCAATTTCGCGCTTTCTTAAATTTTTTGTCCGTATTCCAAAGATTTCAATCTAAGGCGCCCAAGACGTCTTCGATTTCCAAGACGTCGTCGTCGTCGTTCTTGACATCGTCAAGGCTTTTGAGGTCTTGGGCCGTGTGGGGTCTTACATGATAGAATTTTCTTTCAGATTTTCGTTGCAAGTTTTCCCATACAAGTGCAAGTTTTCCCCTATTTGTGTCCAAAAAGCAAGTTGCAAGTTTTGCCATATTTGTGTTCAAAAAGCGACGAAGCTCGCCCCGGGGCGCACGCGCACATCGAGCGCCGTCGGGCGAGCTTCATCGCCTATTCGTCAGATATTCGCTCACAAAGCCCAGCCCAGAAGCACTGCAGCAAAGCATAGGAGCCGGAGGTTGGAAGCAGTGGCTCGATACAGAGAAAGACGAGAGCGAACGCACACGGTATTTAACAACGAAAGACCATGCATGAAGTAACGCTTGAAATGAACAAACTCACATCTCCACGATTGTGAGACTGCGCAGCTGACTTCTGCTCCAAAGGTCGCGGGGCGCCTTCAGCAAGAATCTGACAACAAAAAGATTTCGTCAATAAAATCTTACGGTTCACCGACTATAAAAGCCTACCTTTTCGGTCTGATGCCACCGAGCACGCGTCGACCGCGGCACGCTCTCTTCGGATAAAGGTGCCAGGTAACGTCGGTATTGCTTCGGCCGCTGCTTACTGGCCATAATGCCGTTTCATATGCAGAAGTTTCGGCAGAATCGGCGTAGCGCTTGTTTGACGAGCAATAATGGCGAAGAATGACGCGGGAAGAGCGGGAAGCGGGATTAGTAGCGGTACAGTGGCTGTAGTAGCGGGATTGGCGGGATGGCTACCCGGGGACCTGGGTACTTCGAAAACGTGAAACGCACGCCATCGCGCCATAAACCGCATTGTAAACAAAACCATCTTTACAGTCTATAGTGCTAATAACAACGTCCTGAACTAAATATAATTCTAAGTTGTAAAATGAAACTTAATTTTTTTTTATTAGAGTTATCCTTCTCTTCTGTATTTGCCATGGGTGTTAGGTGGCCGTCTCGCCATATGGCCAGCCGGAGTCGGCGCGCGGTTTCAGTTGAGCCGGTTGAGCCAGTTGAGCTGCTAGTTTTGGTTGCATCACCTGCTGCGTATGAGCTTTCAGTTGCTGAAAAGACCGCAGGACATCTATTCCTACAGGAAGAAAGGGTAAGATTTTATTGCAGTAAAATATAGTTCAACAGCAGTTTGCGCCGGCGCATGGTTGGATCGGCGAAACGAAACTGCGATTCAGGCAGCAGTTTGCGCCGGCGCATGGTTGGATCGGCGAAACGAAACTGCGTTGCACGCGTTTTTTTTTTTTTCTCTCACTTCTTTTTCGTCTTCTTCTTCTTCTTCTTCTACTTCTTTCATATTTATATATAAAGCGAAAAGAGTACGTTTTATCGAAGTGTGGTTTAGAGAAATGCGATGTGTGCACGGCGGGAACCTACACTTGCAAGCAAACCATGCTACGCGCGCTCGCTGTCGCTCGAAGGAATGTTAATCTCAAGTTCGAGCACGCACCTACAAGGGTTCATCGCTGAGTACTCGGCAAGCTAGGCTGATGAATCAGAGAAACATCGGAAGCAGCATGCCGGGGGTTGCCATCTTCTCGAAACCGAGTTTCGACTTTCGAGGCAGCTCGAAGAAACTGTTTTCGCTAAAACTGCGTTCGTTAGAACGAGCTTCTCTAGACCGCACGCTGTCACGGCTGATTAAGGCGTATAATTACTATAAAAATATTAATCGGGAATTGGTGTAGTCTCGTCTTGCCTTGGTGCTTTGTTTGTGTAATAAATTACCTCGCTGATCAGCCACATTTTCTCCACCACATGCGGATGTGACGGTTGGAATTGTTTGAACATAATGCGATTACTTCACATTAAATTCGATTGTATTCTTTTCTTACAGAGATGAATTTCGCATATGTGCAATATTTTACTGGAACAGAACGACCTAAGACTATCATCAGTACATCTGCAATTAAAAACTTTGAACCGAGAAGTGAGGATGACTACAAGAAGGGTCACCTCTATGATGCTTTGTTGACTCCAGACGGAGGGGAGCCGGGCTGTTTTAAAGCCCAAATACTACTTTTGGCAGGTGATATATATCAATGCAGTTCCTCACAGCAGCACACCAGAGGAGACTTGCCCTATATGTTATTGTGTGTACCACTTTGCAGACTCAAAGTCGTCGATCGAGGAGAGGATCAAAAGGGGCAAGAGGATCCCTCTACCTAAAGTCCTTGACCAGGTTGTTGAGCACAGCAGTTCGGAAGACGACCAAGCAGCTCTTCGGGTCGAAATGGCAAGCATTTTGTTGCTGCTTATCCTTTTAGAACTATCATAGAACCCCTCCGGTGCCTTCACATAATATGTACAAATGAGCTGTGTTGCCACGAAAAATTATTTACACTATGAAATAAAAGACTAAATGTCACTACAAGTGGTAACTGAATAAAACAATGGCCTTAACAGGTAAATACAGATTAAAGTATGAAAATTGATACTTCACAAAAAAAACTGATTTTAGCTGGTTTCTGGTTGAAATTAAAATTATATTGTTTTTCCATTTAGTCTGTTCGGTTTTTTGGTACTGTAGTTCATTATTTATTCCCCCATATAGTTTTAAAGCACACCTTGGAAGATTACAAATTTTCTGTAATATTCAGAGAAATGAGGTTAAGTATGACTGATACATCTTGTCTAGTGTAAAACAATATATAACAATTTTTGTTCTTTTTCTCTATTAAGAAAAACGAAAAGGTAATAGGTATGTATGTGGATGTTGTCCTTATAATTATTGTGATTGGTTGACATTAGAACCGTTTATTAGACAGTGCTGCAATTGCACTTTTAAATGGAGCTATTATTAAAGCCTTGCCGAATTTGAACAATTTATAAAAGGCTACAAGTTTTTAGATATAAATTTTGCCTTTCATGGCTTGACTGAAAACCCGCAAGCCAGACCAAAACGACTATGTGAGCGCAACATAACGCGCTCCTTCCAGTATGCAGTTTTTTAACCAGGACACAAAAGGCGTAATTTCAGCTCTGAATATCTAAAAGCTTGTTGCCCTTTTGCAGATTGTTTCAATTCGATAGTACCCTAACAATGGTTTGCTTAACTACAATTGCAACATAGCCCCAAACAGTTAATTTACAGATTTTCGTTAATTAGTCAACATACTAGTGATGTTTCTCAAAGGCTTGATAAGCCGAGTGCAGTAATGCAGTGAGAATAGCACCCAGACAATCCGTCACCTGATTTTCTTTCTAAAATTTCATTTAAGAAACTGCATAATTGAGTTTTACACAAAAATTACTAATTTTCTATATAATTTGCTGTGATTGAAAACATAAATTGTATTGGAAGAAATCCTTATTGCAATTATATACTAAATTTTTCTTTGGCAGAGCAAAGAAATGTTGGTGTAAATTACAATTATTATTTTGACAAGAGTGTCCATGAAAATGTGACCGCCAATGAAATCAAAAGATGCTGGAGCTTTCCCTACATGGTGCTTGTAATAGTGCAGGCTCAGCAGAAATTGAATCGTACAAGAGAAGCAACAGCAAAGATGAAGCAAATAATTTCAGAAAAGTTGTCTCAGAAGCGCAAGAACCCACTTTTCCCAGAGGCTCGGAGTGCCAAGCATGCCAGGTACGAAAGCCACAGTGATACAGACAGTGGGGATGATGGTGCTGTTGTTCCCAAAAAGTTGTACGACGATCTCCATCAGAAGTATCTTGCCCTAAAAAAAACTACAAGGGAACTTAAGGAAGACGTTGAAAAGATGCGGACAAGAGAGGCCAAAAACACAGACATTCTGGATGTGATTCTTGAGGGTGTAAACAGCATCAAATCAAAGCTCGAGAGCACTGGAGCAGGTGCGTATCTCTTTCCTTCTGAAGCATGAATTTTACAAAAAAAAAAAAAAAACAGCCTAAGACAACCATGGTGATTTAAAATGTTTAACTTAGTTTTTTTTTCTTCTTTTTTTTGCGCCGTCAAGGATGCTCAATAAATGCAAACACCAAGCATGATATCGTGAAGAAGGCTAAACTCAGAACTGACGGAAGAACGGTAAGCTGATGTAGCAAATTTTTTATAGCCTGTGGTTGCCGTTTTAGTTTTTTTAATATTTTGACAAAGTACTGGAAAGGACAAAATTATAAAGAAGCCACAAGCTAGATTTATATCTGCTCTTAAAATCTGCAATTAGAAAATGGCCGATCAATGTTTTAAGATTGTGGTCATGAAATAAAGCTGGCTTGAACTGTCGGTTAATTTGAAGTTTGTGTACTTGCTGTCATTTCCAACAGCTTCGTAGGATTACAAATGAAGCCTTTATTGTTTTTATTTATATCCATTGCTCTGCTTCATTTGCAGGTCTGTGTAAATGACAGTGTTACCCTTAGTTTGGACCAATGGGTCACCTGTCAGCGACAAAAAAAAGAGTCCAAGTTTGTGAGGAGTCTGGCTACTGCCATATGGGGACGCAATATTTTGAAAAATCGATCTACGAGTGGCAAGGTGTCTAACCGTTTGATAAATGATGGAGGTGCTGCGAAGCCACCACTGACTCCAACAAAACTTAATGTGCTGGAAGGTGAGTAGCTTGTAGTTTACGGCACTTTCCGTGTTTGCTCCGTTTTATCACTAACTGATTACATTCAACAGGGCCGCCATATTTCTCATGACCTGACTACAAGGTGAAGAAGAAGCAACAGATTAATATAACCAACAAATGGAGATTTTGGAGATGTTACTAAAAAAAATACTACACGAAATAATGTGCAGCGCATCGAACCTTTTGAACATTTATTTTTACCTGTTTGGTATATTATATTTCACAGTAGCTAGCGCTAGATTTTTTTCGGTAAAAGTTGCATGCATTTAACTAGGCATCTTTTAAATATGCAGGGCATTTTTTCTTCCATAATTTTTACATGGGTGGATAACCATCACCTGTATTGACTAACTAACCAAAACCTGTTAAAAAATGGTTTAATGGGCATGTTGCAATTGGTGGTTGACTGTGGAGCAACTACCGAGGATATGCTGTACAGATAGTGACGAGATGACTAAAACAACTGTCACTTTTCTATGGACCATTATCGGCAAAACTTCCCAGATTCTTTTTGGTGCGCAGTTCTTGAGTTAGGCAACGAAAAAGAAAATTTTAACAATGAACGTTTCAAAGCGACAAATTTTTACGAATTGTCGAAATTGGGTTAGCCTGTAATAATGGCTATTTTGGGGGGCCCCCATGAGGCCCGCCACCCCCCCCCCCCCCCGAAATCTTACATTTTGTTGGGACCTCCTCTCCCCCCTCCCCCTCATGCATCAATTTGTCATGGGCGCCCCCCCCCCCCCCAAAACAAAATCCTGGCTACGTGCCTGATTGCAACATGCCTCATTAAACCACTAAATAAAAAGTTAATTGCCATATATTTGTAATTTGTCGACATATTCTGACAGTTATCCAGCCGTCTATGTCCGTCATGCCCACAAATATAAACTAAAGGATAGACGTATCTCATTTTTTTTATTTATATAAAAGATAAAAAGATATCTGCATACTGCAAGATTAAAATTACCCCACACTTAGGTTGTTTTAAATATTACAAATTTCTCTGTCAAAATTATGCAGAGTTTAATAGTTGCATTTTTTTTTCCAGCATGCTATGAGGACTGGCTACGTGAACATGGCGCCAGTGGCGATGTGTTGGCTGAGCGGATGGCAGCAATGACCACACACATAAACAGCGCCGTACGTGACCTGGCCGTGACGTGCGGCATGCGCTAGGTACTGACCAAGAATAACGGACCAAGTGTCTCTGGAACTATGCTTGTCAAGGACGACGCTTCCTATGTTTCCACATGTATTATTTCAGAAAAGTAAAATTTGTGTTTCAACACTGGAGTGTCTCTCACTTCGCCGCAAGGTAGGTTTGCTGTAGCTGTTTTTTAGTGTGCTTGCCGCATTAAAAGCAGCTACAGTAGACCTTTCCCGCGATATTTTCTGCCATTGAAATAATATTAAAAATTCAATGAGCATAACATACAAATCCCTTAAAATTTCACATTACTGCTGCTGGATTTTCACTTCTTCAGCTCATTGATGCTTATTCGTTTCTATCCTGCATTCTCATTCAAAGCGATTGAATCCTCCTTACAAAGCACATAACCGCTCATGGCAGTCTGCCTATTTTGCTCATTCGGGCACATTCATTTTCGCACCGAAATACATATCCATTTTGTCTCATTTTCTATATTCAGCTTGTGGGTTTCTAGGGTAATTTCACATTCAAGTTTCATCGGGTTGCTCATTCATGCACATTGGTTTTGGTGCAAAAATGAATGAGATTTTAGCTCTTTTTTCCAGCAGGGTTGTGTACCTTCGTGCGTGTGTGCGTGCGTGTAACTTTGATATTTGTATCTGATGTTTGCGAGTGCATATCTCGTAATATTTTCTAGATATAGCGTTGAATTTTTTTTCTGTATATTCTTTCCGGAACGGTAAATCATCAAAAATATTTTTTTACTCGAGTTTTATAACTGAAAATATTTACAACGCTTCAAACGTGCTTCAATGTGAAAAGTTCCCCAACTTCAGCGTGCAATTAAAAGAAAACTTCGTTTTCCTTTTTTTCTCGAGGAAAATATTTTACACTATATCGCGTGGTGTTCCATTAATATGTTGCATTATTTTGTCTCCATGCAAAATGCAGCGCTTCGAAATACACGAACTAGGCAACTTTGACATTTTTACCCAATATTTGTGAGTTGTTATCTGGCAATGTCTTCAAGATATAGCATTGAACTATTTCTGATATGTTCTACCTAAGAGGGCCTATCACCTACATAAAAATCATTACACTCTCTAATAACTGGACAAATTTACAGTGCGGCAAACAGCTCACAGGGCCGAACTCGGTCCCAAGCAATAACAAAAGTTACAAGTAAAAAAAGAAAAACGATACCGACATTTTCAGAAGCTTTTATTTCTACGCCACATAGTTTTATTGTGTCCAGAGTTTGCGAGCTCAGGCTGAACTCAAGCAGGATTTACCAATGAACCACTCTAAGCGATCCATTATTCGCGAACACAAAGCAGCGTACTCTGTTACGATCCGTTCCACCTTAAAATGGACCGCAGCGGACGCTACGAGCCATCTGAGGTAAATAAGTTCTGAGTGTGTGACACGTGACATGCGCTGAGTGTGGGCACACGCGGAGCACGAGCCCAAATGAAGCGCTCGCAGCGCTGCATTGGCTGGAACGACTTGCAGCGTCCGGTGTGATCCATCCCTGGGTATACAGAACATAATCTTGAACCAAAGCAGTATGCCTTACTTCCCGGATTACCCCGAAGACATCTCCAAGCAGCTCACAAAAGAGTCATTGTATATTGTCAGAATGTCGAACCTGACAAAACCATTATCACGGAGTACCTTCCGCACAGGACAAGGCGAGGCGTTAAGTGGTCGTTCAACCGTTGTGAGAGCCAGTCCTCCGAACACAGGATATAAAGCTACGACCCTCGTGAGCCAATCGGGGCATCGGAGCAAAGCACTTGACGATGTACCATTGAAACACGATCCACACAATCCTCCCACGGAGAGCTGTCTCATGCGTCGCTCCCTTGCTCTGATTGGCCAACGGGGATCGTAGCTTTCGCCGTTTACAAAGTTATGGTGAAACGGAGATACACTCAGTCCGTGTAGCTTTTCTATCTGATCGTTTTTTCTGTTCCACATATTTTTAAAGTCCAATGTCACGGTTTGAGCGGAGAACGTAACGTGGCTTTTCGAAGCTACAGAAGAATCCAGTGTATGTCTGTTATCTGATTCAACGGTCGTTTACTTACAAAAGCAAGCCGGGTCTTCCTGACAGAATAAAGTGCTCCTCGCCGACATTTAAGATTCTGCCCCATTACATGATTAGTTTAAGAAATAATCCAAATCCGAAAGCCCCGTTTCCATACCCCTGCCGCAAACCCCCGCGTTCTGTCACACATCTTCAAGATCCCCGGCTTTTAAAAACCAACGCCCGCTTAACAATTCTCCAAGCTTCTCCCCTTATATTGCTGTCAACGCGTTTCTTCCTACGCATTGTATACATGATTAAGCAAGGGATAGAGTTTACAACGCGACCACAATTACTACTTTTGTGTACTTGTTTATCGAATGCGCTCTCGTGGCCCGAAGTCGTTATAGAGCGGAAGGTAAATACACTGCCAAAATAGTCTGTGCATCTGTAACAAATAATTACAAATAATAAACAGAAACAGAGAAGCAGGTCACGGGCCACCGCAAAAACGTCACTGATGGCAGTTATAATCAAGTTAGGTCATTGATATTAGCAACCAACCAGATGAGGTGGTTTTATCCGTGGACTGAGCAAGGTAGGAAAGATGAACTCGTATTTCAAATTAATGATGGTGATTGGGTCCGGACACTTCATCGAAGGTTGTCTCATCGAAGCCATTTCATCGAACGTTATTGAATCAAACGCCATTTCATCAAAGCCGTTTAATTGAATGCTTTAAAATAGTATTTGGAGATCGTTTCTCGTTTTTGGAAATAGTTCCTTTTGCATCGAAGGACAACTATATTCTATGCCCTATTTTCAATTAAATGTCAGGACCAAGAAAAGAACTGCTTTTCTCCGGCAATATAATGGTAGTCGCATGAGGACAAGCACGCGTACACTATGCAGTGCTGACTACCCCGCGACAACCAGAAAGTTTCTGGCTCAGTGACTTGGTGTGCGCCGCCTATTTGTGTCACACTTGTGCTACTAAGCTTGTCTAAAGTAGGGAACATCCAAGCTCACAATTGTTTTAAAGATGTCATTTACGCACGAGAAAACCAAAAAGTTTTAGATGAGGCGATGAAAGGGATAAAAAAAGGGTACAAATATTTTCGGACATTTCATTATGCACGTAGTTCGTAGCTCAGGCTCAAATCAATCACGATTTGCACAAGAAGCTGTGTGGCTTTCGAAGCTTTCTCCCAAGCCTCCCCATTATTTACAGACTTGGGCTTGAAACATTGAACCCAAACACAAGAAAGAACGCATTGGAGACTCCTCTCCCCCCCTTCCCCCTCGAGCGCCTCGATACCATGAGACATCGGGGGTGACTCAGTGCTGGGAAAAGTGACACGTGGCATTCGGATTTGGTGCAGCGATGCGCGCCAAAAAGCGAGAAGTCATATGAAACTTAGGGAGCCTTCGTGTGCGCTTTGCTAATGAAACCCTCACAGCAGTGCATCGGCTGGAACAGCTTGTAGCGTCCGGATGTCCTACTTCCATCAGGCCCCACCTCAGCGACCCGAAGAAATTCCCCAAGCAGGCTCTAAAGCGACCCCCCCCCCCCCCCCCCCCCCCCCCATTGTGCGTTTCGAAAACCTTGAACGGGGCAATAACGTTATCACAGAGTTCCTGGTATACTGAACAAAGAAGAATGATAAGTGCACCCCCCGTCCTCGCTTTCAGCATGAATCACGCACACCCCGTTCCAGTATTGCCTCTTTTTTTTTTTTTTTCTTAAATTCAATATTTTTAAGCGCGGGCGGCATGGGGTAGTGCGAAAGCGCCCTGTTTCAACGACCGCTCTTGTGAAAGTTTGCATAAGTTTTGTTTTTATATATTATTATGAAGCCGCCAGTCGCTGCAGTTATGGCTTAAATCTCTGATGAACCCAGATACTTGGCGTTTTACAAATTTAGAAAAATACAAGGAGAGTCAAATGGCTCTGTCTTTATTCGCAAGGTTGTTGGATTCTTCAGACTGTGGATCCGAACAATTCAGTGTAGGACGTTTCGGTGTAGGTCGTTTCGGTGCCGACATTTCGGAGCACGGACTTTTCGGTGCAAGGACTTTTTGCTGCATGGAGATTTTTGTGTAAATACACGTTTAGAAGTTCAAATAGCTGAGCTTTCCAGCAGGCATTGCGGACATTTGAATGTTCAAATATTGTGGCGGCAGTGGCGCATAAAATATAAGGGATGTAATTATCGAGATGAAAATATACGATACGTGTAATTAAGCAATTATTTGCCTCTGTGATCCTATGAGGACATGTTCATAAAAGACGTAAGGTACACGGATATTTCGGTGTAAACGGCCCGTCATTTCTGGCAATAGCATGCTTTAATATTCTAAAGGTTAGAATATACGTCTAGGACATCTTTATTAAGATTTGTCATAAATATGTCTGGATGATAGGTATGTAACGTGCATAAGCATACGCATATGAAGTTATTCGCATGTGTGGCTTGATAATAATATATTCCGGAAAAAATGCCAGTTTCTAGCCCTCCCAAATACTATAACGCCCACGTATCACAGGTGAGTCGTCGTATATATAATATACGTAATAAAGTAAGAGTCTGAGGCCAGCTGCCTTCAAAAGAAATATAATCATGCACAAAGGGTAATGTGGACCCCTTTTATTTACAAAACGCGTGTGCTCACTGCTTTGTGACCTAATCGGCGTTGCTAGCAACGCTTCTGAGGAATCGTCGAGCATCATTGCAGTCCCTGATCCCGGCTTCGCAAAAGACGCTACACGGGGGTGCAAGTTTATTCATTGTGGTCGGAGGCGAGAAGACACATGCTCTAACCCCCGTGGGGCGGTGGTGTCTGCTAAAAAGTCGAGCAGAAAGAGAAGATGACATTTTTTTATGAAGTTCGGGCAAACAATAATCGTAAAATAAAGACAAAAGCGACTCTTTGTGTCGCTTTATGTTCCACGACCATGCAACAAAAACTCCGCACACCGAATGTTTCGAGCACCGAAATGTCCTAGACTCTTCAGACTGCTATAGATGAAGCCTAAAACAAACCATTGTACTATACATGGGCTGCACCTACGCCACAAAAGGACGTCGCACGCCGGTGTCGACCATGCTGGTGGTTGAGACGACCGCGATTTGCAACAGAGCTATGGAAGACGGTGGTGCGTTGGGCTGCATCAAGCGCTCGCGCAACAAAAAAGAAGCGGAAACTACACGGCCAGCTTCTACCCGGCGATCGCAACATCGGTGTGCACTGCGACGGAGATGCTGTCCAGAAAAAGAAGGCACGAATGGCATGCAAAGCCGGCTCAGGACAGACGTCGATGATGCGGCCGCTTATTATTGAGTTTGCGGGGCGCATTTATTTGTTAGCGGTGTGTGACGCACTTTCATAACGTGTTTGTGAATGCTGTCATTGCCAATGCGACACCGACGCGCTAAAGTTAGTGGCCCCAGTGATGACTTTCCACTACACCATAAGTTTGTGTGGTAGAAAAAAACAGTCTAGTGAGGTGCACCTTGTGTTGTTGAGCAGCGCTTCGCAAACTTGGAACTCAGAAAATGTGGTTATGGTTGAGTATGAAGTCACTTCCTAATGTACACAACTTCACCATTCGAAATAACATTCAATCTCGGCTCCTGCACCCAGCCGATCGTCAAGTGGTTCTGTGTGCTTTAAAGTGTTTGCGTACAATAAAGCTTCTTTTTCGGACAAGGTAATCAATCTCGTGACATGCGCTCTACTGGTCATGCGCTCTTGTGACGTGCACTCTAATGGTAAGCGCGCTCCTTTCGCAGCGCTCTCGAGTCGCGCGTTCTAACGTCGGCGCTCTAGTTACACTGAACTAGAATAAAGGGGCAGTGGAAAAAATGTCGGCGGCGTCCCATCGGCCGTGTGAAGCCAGAAGTGCAGACTGCCGCGAGTGGCGCTGTTGTCGAAATCCGGAGGACATGGCTACTGTAACATGGGATATGGCGTCGTGTACGTTCTCGGATGGTTTCTGTAGTGTCTATGGTCGTTTTTGCAATTTTTTTTGTGTGAATATCAAGTGCTTGGCATCGCGATTACATAGGTTCGAGTTTTGTCGCTAAGCAATGAAAACGAAGAGAAAGAAGACGGATGCGCAGCGCTACGCGCCAGCATGCAAGACTGGTTACCCCGGTTTTCAATCGTGGAAGTAAGCTTTAACCAATTTATTCATACACGTTGAAACACCCATGAAGCATACAAAGGCGACACTAATGAACCGCTAAGATCAAAAACAGCTACTCTTGGCGCGAGCTTCGCTGGCAGGAGTGCTCAGGAATCGAACACCAGCGCCACCTGGTAGGTTCTACACGAAGCGCCTCACCTGGAGGCCGGCTAGTTTTCCACTACTCCTATTCTAGTTCACTGTACTCTAGTGTCGTGCGCTCGAAAGGGCCTCTCCCGTCCGAGTCCACCTTTGGGGAGTGAAAACTAAATAAATACTGAACCGCTTCGAAAGCACTCGGGCCTATCCGTCATAGACCTAGAGGAGATTCCTTATAATGAATTATAGACTGCTGAGTGTCGCCATTGATGGTACAATTGACGGCGCGTATGCCCGAATTTGTGGAAACGCCCCCTTTTTGGCTGATTTTGACGTCTGAGGCAACCTTTGGAGAGCGATAACTAAATAAATTCTGGGCCGCTTCAAAAGCACTCGGGCATACTGATACCCGCGAGTGTGGGATGGCATTTGAGTTCGTCCCTTCGGCGGTAACAGATGTAGGCGTCACTGGTACGAAAACAAGCGCAGAGCGCAAAGCGGCGGTACAGAATATGTCAGCCGTGCCGACACAGTGGCAGATATGATCGGGAGACTAAATTTATCGCGTAGTGCGGCAGGGGTTCATCGTTGTCGCTGTCCCACAAAACATCGGGGAGGTGAAAAACTGTGAAACTTTGTTCCCACGAGATACGACGCATAACTATTGAAGTACTTAATGGCGCAGCACCGGCAGCACTTCATGCTGTGAACCCAGCGCAACCGCACCACTCCGACTGCAATGCGTACCAACGTACGTTGCGTGGTTTCGGTTTCGTTTTCTCTGGAGTTCTCATTGCGGCGGCGCGCCAGTCTGTGAAGCCATCTGGCGGCAGCGCCACCAAGTACTTGCCGTACGGCTAGGCTGGCTCACTGGGCTGGCTAGGCAGTCAGCGCCGGCATGGTAACAGCGGCGCTCGATAAAGCTTGCCAACACAGCCACACAGCCTCCGACTTGAGTCAGTGAGTGCCAACGTCGATCACCTACGGATGTAAGGCGCTCTCGAGAGGCGTCCCACGACTTCGGCGAGCGTTACATCTGGGCGATCCGCGCGCCCGTCTCCGCCGAGATCCGCCGATTCCGTGTTCCGATCGCTGAGTCGGAAGGCCAGGAATGCCGCCCACGACCAACGTCACCATAGAATGGTGGAATAACTTCGAACGGTGAGTGTACCCTCGTGGCCAAGCTCGACGGTCCGTCCGGCGTGCATTATGGCCAACGCCATCAGTGCGGCTCATCTCGGACGTTTGAAAACGAACGGGTCTTTGTTCCAAGTGTTTTCGGCGTCATTCCGACTCGTGCGGGGCGGCTGCTGCCGCGCTCGAGACAGCCACCGTACCGCGGCGTTGCCTAGCAGAAGCCATTCGGGCTGTCAGCTTCCTCATATCCCTGCTAGAATCGAAATGTACGAGCTTTAGGCCTAGGCGCGTGAAAAATGGCCTTGCAGCGCTGCACTGCACGATCCAACCGTTGTCTTCGTGCCGGTCTTCCACTGCGTCCGTCGGACGGGGAAACAAACAAACCGCCCGGTTTTGGTTTGCGAGGAGGAAAGCAGTGACACGCGCAACGTACGCAGCCTTTACGTTGCGTTGGCACTTCTTTAGACATGCGAAGAGCGTCGAACGGAATTCTGGACGTGTTTCGAGTTTCCTTTAAAGGGTACTTATTGTTAAACTCTGGTGCGCTGCTGGAAAGCCGACGGCGCGCTGGTAGGCTGCGCTACAGTCTCTGAACTTGATTAGGGCATATTTTTGCCCAGGACACCGGTCAAGAAGCTTGCGATTGGAAGCTTGACTCGTGTCCCTGCACACACGGGACAAGAAAACAGCAATATTCAAACAAGTGTACACTGTTTTTTTTACTTAATGATTATCAAGCTAGTTGTTGATACTTCAACCAAATTTGAAATATATTCATCTTGTTAATAGGTTCAATATGATCCACAATATCCGTAAATGACAATCTCGCGTTTGTATTTTGAGCCTGGTGGCTGTAATTTTCGTTATAAACGGCCCACTCTGGCAAGCGCTCGGTGTAGCCAGTGGAAACCACGTGACATCCAACGCAATCGTGACGTAGTTCGTCTCGGGACGAGCAAAGCTACGGCGAGGCTGACATCGAGAGGAAGGCCTAGTCGTTGCAGCCACCGAAGCGGCTGCTTTTGTGCGAATTTTGAGTGACGGGTTAATCTTCTATAGTCTTGTAGGGGGACAATAGCGACTTCTGGGACACACAAAAGGAATTCTCGGGAAGAGGGGAGTTCTTCCTTCCCCTCTTCTCTCGTTGTGGCCGGAGGCGAGACAGTAACCCTCACTACCTGCCAAGGTTCCTAGACGGGCATTACAAACGAGGCGTTGGCGACATCCACCAGATGCTCTTTGCTAATTGTTTAATTCATTTAAACTTCCTTTTCGAGACTTTTTAAACAAGATATTGGTATGTTTGATGTGATACTGGTCCTTTGAACACATATAGACCAAAAGATGAGCGCAGAAATTTCGTTGTAGTATCCTTTTAAGCAGTATGGATGCCGCTGGCGTGTTGCATCAGTGCTCTGAGTCAAGTGTGAGCCCAACCTTGACGCAGTCGTCGTGTCCAATCTGTGCCCAGCGTTCTCTGATGACGCCATCTCATTTAGAGCTACGGCCTTGTTATCCGAGAGGTGTTGCACTGCGGTGCGGTGGAATGCGGGCGTGCTCAGTTCTGGTGTCGCCGGTTGTTCTTCGCTTTGTGTTTCCGTGGTAGCGATGCGTGGGCTGTAATGTTTCTATGTGTAGATGGATGGATGTGGTTCACTCCACGATTGGTATGGATATTGTCCTTTCCGCGAGTGATATGGATGACCGTACCTAAGGATGTCGACATACTCTGACAGGCAGAGTACAAAAAAAGGGGCGAAAAAAATTGCTGGAAGATCCATTGGTGGATTCCTGAGGAATCTGTTAGCATGGCCGTTGGGAAACGCCTCACATGTCCCCCTTCGGAAAATGCTAACACTGACCCCATAATGAGGCTAAAAAGGGGCAGCAATAAATAAGGGAAGTGAAAGAGAAAGACAAACAAAAAAAGTGAAGGGGTCAAAGTTAGCGTTTCCCAAAGGGGGACATGTGTTGCGTTTCCAAGGGTCATGCTAATGCGTGTCCGAAGAATCCACCAATGGATCTTTCTGTATTTAGGTCTACTTTACCCAACACTGAATTTTTGAAAAGTATCTTGTTACAGAGATACAGATACTTGAAGGTATCTTTGAGATTTGTGATACTGCCCAGCCCAAAGTCACTCACTGTTTTAAGGAAATGGAAACATTGTGTGTTTAGAATTTCTCGCTCAAGGGTTTCAAAACTAAGACTAAACCTTGCTTGTCTGTTGCAGTGTCAGCTAGTTCTGAAAGACAAGATAGCTGCACTGGGCAGCTAAATCAACAACCAATCGGGAGGGCTCCTGGTCAAACAGAAGAGGTGCATCACAACACTTCCGTTTGCAAGACATCTGCCTGAATCTCCCTCAATCCACGGTTGCTGAAGCTATCTGCCAAGATAGACCAGCCTCCAGCAAAATAATGCTGAACACTGCTCATGGCTACAGCGTGCAAAATCCCGCTGAAGAGCATTCGCAAGCCGTGAAACCCGAACCTTAAAAAACCCAGTTTCCGAGTGATTTGGTTCTCACCAAAAAAACTTGCTGAGTCAGCCGAAAGGCAGTTGCAGAGGTGCTGTGCTGCTAAGCCAGTGGGGTTAAAACACTGCATCACCATGACGATCACATACTCACTCAACGTTTCTGAGGCCCGGCTGTGTGGGTTCGCCAAATTGCTGCTGCGCTGGCGCGGCAGCATCTACAAGCTTCTCTACCGAGAGATGATCATCTTCTGTACACTTTACTTCACTCTCAGTGCGCTCTATCGGCACATCCTCAACGACGATCAAAAGATGTGAGTATGTCCTGTATTTTCTTTGGCAGCCTTCTCTCATTTGTTAATTTTGTTTCAAGTAAAACTTTGTCCATGCATGAAGCTTCTGATATATGTCTTGGATGTTTTCAGCATTAGGGTTCTTCAAGCTTTAGTTTTACAACGGGCAGGGAATTTCTGACGCGTTTCCTTGAATGCGACTCGAGTGCATCGACCCAAAACATCCATCGAATGAAGCCAACGTGTCAACATTTACACGGATGGGCATCAAGTCCTATCTGAAGGTGGTGCCATGCCGTGTAAAATCTCAACGGTAAAGCAGCATTTCTAACACCAGCCACATCATGTGGCTATGTTTTTTGCTGCTTTGTGCGTGGAGGCCCTTTTGACCAGTGATGTTCCACGAAAGGAATTTTTCCTTTTTCGGGGAAATTTTGGTCCCAATTTCGGTGAAAAGAGAAATGGGAATTTTAAAGCGATTACTGGGAATTTGAACGATTAACGAGGTAATTTGAGAAAAGCTTTAGAGAAAGCTAAATATTAAAAGAAAAAAATGTGGTCTAAAAGTTTTAAGTAGAGAAAGTTGCAGTGTAGGAAGGAGAGGTGTCTGAATGACTCTTAGGTGGAACGGGCTGCATCAAAAGGTTATATTACTTAGTTTATAAAAATATAAACTGACCGGTAACATTTTCCTCTCTTTAAACACGCAACTTCACGCAGCTTTTGTGGGCAAATGCGTGCAAAGTGGCCTGCTGCGAAAATGAAGGTAAAGAAGTGTAGGCAGATATCAATATATGGCAGGGAAGGAGTAGCTCAAATAGGGAGTTCTTGTAGCGAAGGGAGGCAATGGTTGTCTTATGGGTGTAGGAGTGTATGCCTCCCCCAGGGTCTTTGAGAGTCTGGCCAAGTACTGCGAGAAGTTCACGGACCTGATCCCGCTGTCCTTTGTGCTGGGCTTCTACGTGTCCATTGTGGTCGGCCGCTGGTGGCAGCAGTACCTCAGCGTGCCCTGGCCGGACAAGTGAGTCAGCTTCTTGTACTCCTGGTCTTGCCTCTCACTGGCAACAAAGTCTCACCTGTCCTCCAAAACTGCAAAGCACTCACTTTTTACCCAGATTTAGTGCTAGCGATCCAGACCAGATACCAAGTTTCTCATTCAAAAGTTTCAGAAATTTTCAATGGGAAAATAGGGGTATGAAGCCCACAAACACATAGAGTTGGATGATATTAGCCACTGACAACAAGCCCAGTGATGTGATTGCTGCGCCAAGGGGCTAACCCTGCTACATCCTGCTACATTTTGCCAAATTATGGGTAATCTGCACCAAGCCTGCGCTAAACGACCAATTTTGGTCGCCTTTCAAAACCGAAACTAAACTGAGTACCGTGATTGAGCACGCGTAACCTAGGTGGCGCAAGCGGCCGCCCGACACAAAGTACCCTACATCAATCATTCATCCGGTTTTTCTCGCCGTTTCTCGCATTGATCTCACTCCCCGCTCGTTCGCTGCAGCGCGAGTGAAGCCACCGGACGGCAACCTTGCTGGGATACAGTTTGCGGTTTTGCTAGCCTTTTGCTGTGGTTTTCCAGCGTGCTGTAGACACGTTTTCTACTCGTTCGTCGTCATTTGCCGAAGAAGTTTTTAAGACTCAATGCATTGTTGAGACTTGCCGGTGTGAACACACAGAAAATTTTACAAAAACACAGCACGCCAGGAAAAAACCACAACTCGTCGAAAGCGAGTTTCGCCGGTCTGGCGGCGTGTTTAGAGCTTAATTGGCACGCCGAAGTGCCATGTATCTGTGCCTTCGCACACTTGGATACCGACCAACAATCGACGCCGTGTGGATGTGTTTTACGAGTGCAATGTGCGTGAAGCCATATGTGCCTCTGGATCAGCGTCTTACTTTACTCTGACGACTGTATACTTGCGGCACTCGCAGTCCAGAAACAAGTTTATTCCAGCGTCCAGTAGCGGCGGAAGAGGGGGGGAAAATATGTCTTTTTTTCGTCCTTAGACGATTTACAGAAGACTGTGCAAAACAGCTCCTCATCACTGATCAGTGCTGGCTCATCATGAACCTACTTAATTGCACTTGACGTTTGAGCGCGGCTCGCATAATTGTGATTGGTCAGCAGATTGCACACGACCATATGGGCCGTGCTTCAAAGATTTTTATTCTCGCCATCTTGTACTTTTGCCTTCGAAAACCCTCCTTGCTCCACAGCTTGGCTCTATTCGTGCTCCCATGTGATCCATTAGAGTAGATTTGGAACATAGCCATGGTTAATAGCACATAAGAACACATACAGATCTCCCCCCCATTCCCCATTATTGATAGCAACTCACCGGAACAGCTGGACGATCCAGAACAGGGCCGTACCCAGAAAAAAATTTCGGGGGGGGGTTTTCGGGGACAACGGCGGCCATTTTGAAAGTGTCTGTTGTCTTATTTTCGCCTATGAATCAAGTGCATCGGTGGCATATAATGGAGAGTTACAGCAAACCGGCGAACCGGTCCCGGTTTGGTACCCGGTAGCCGACCGGCGCCACTGCGCGTGCGCAGAGGTGGAGATTAAAATCGGCTGGCTGCCTGTGCACCGACCAGGGCCGTACCCAGAAAAAAATTTCGGGGGGGGGGGGTCAGAACCCCCTATCCCCCCCTGGTTACGGCCCTGATCCAGAACTCCGAAGCCGATATATATATATATATATATATAAATGATCTAAAGGCATCTGCGCGCGACACACGTTCAGAACTTTGGTGCAGCGTCGATTCCTAATCGGTATCCAAGCGTGCGAAGGCACAGAGATGCAGCACTCGGCGTGCCAAGGAAGCTGTGATCACGCCGCAAGACCGGCTACACTTGCTTTCGACGAGTTGTACCTTTGGATACGTACGGATTCACGCATATTGCACTCGCAAAACACTTTCACACGGCGTCGATTCTTGGTCGGTATCTAAGCGTGGGAAGGCACAGAGACACGGCACTTCGGCGTGTCAAGGAAGCTTTGAACATGCTGCCAGACCGGCGAAACTTGCTTTTGACGAGTTGTGCCTTTTTCCTGCGGTACTGCGCTTTCAAGAAATTTTCTATGTGTTCACAACAGCAAGTCTCAACGGTAGACAGGGTCTTAAAAAACTTCTTCGGCGAACAAGTAGCAAATATGTTTACAGCATACTGGAAAACTGCAGTAAAATGCTGGCAAAACCGCAAATCGTATCCCAGCAAGGTTGCGTCCGGTGGCTTCACTTGTGGGAGCGGGAAGCGCGATCCAGCAATTGTCATTGAGATCAGTAGTCTCTCGTTTCGCGCTTTCGTTGTGTCGCGCGGTGCTGCCAACCTTAAAGGATTTTCCCCTAGATCTAGGGATTTCCATCATCGTTTAGGGGCAAAGGGAAATTTCTTCAAATCTAGGGATTGTTTTTCAATGGGTTTCAGAGGGTTTTAGAGACACGTTTTTTTCCCTTTTTCCTCCTCATGCCGGCAGCGGGAAAAAGGCTTTTTTGTATATTGTCGGAGCCAGAGATAATCACCAGTAAGGGGGGGGGGGAGGGGGAGGGAGGGGAGGGGGGAAGGGTGCGGTGCGGGTGGCAGGCACACAAGGACAAAGCAACTAAGTTTAATAATGTAAAAAGGTTTTAACGAAGCAAATTTAATACTTAAATGACCACCCAACTACAGGAATCTATTCTTAAGCTACTACATAACGATAATCTCAATATTGACGCAAATAAACATTTTCTGAAAATCTAGGGAATTTTCCAATAGAAATCGGGGAAAAAACGACCGCAAAGATTAACAGCACTGGTCTCGCGTCTTTTAAAAAAATTTTCACCGATAGACGCAGGCGTGTGCAGACGCTCCGACGCATGGGTGCCCCCGGGTACCAGCCATGCCGTCATGCTGTGAAGCGAAACCATGTTTTTGCATGGCGGGAGTTACTTTGTGAGCTGAAGCGCTCGCTCCTGAAAGCAACGGCCGTGGGAAAACTCTATTTGGTCCCTGCTCACCGTGGTCACGCGACATCGGTTGTGGCGTCCCCACGTCGCTGCAGATGTGGCGTCCCCACGTCGCTGCAGATGTGGCGCTCTCTAAACTGAAACGTAAATACCACCGCATCTTCATCAACATTCCTGTTCTTCTTTAAACCTTATGCTACTACAAAAATCCCTCATTAACCCTGCTGTGTCGACGTATTGATTACCTAGGTTTCTCTTGCTGGGATTTGTTTCGAGAGGGACCCCGGTTATGTGAAAAATCTGCCGCGAAAGAAAGTTGAAGAGAAGTGAGTGAAAGCAAAGAAGGCAATGTCTGCACGCTGAACCCACACAACGCGCTTGTTTGTCTGGAGTTCAGTCGTTGCACAAAGCACTCCAAGAACTCTTTGACCCTGGCTCGCAATATCTTGCATCAAAGTGCTCAAGTGTTTTGTTTTTTTTCTTTTTCTGTGTGCATATCTTGTATTTCGTCTGCCGGCATGGCAAGTATGCCGCTGGACTTTTTTTTTTGTCGTATGCTGGACAGTTACATTTTGCACACAATTTTGGGAACCAGTTGGCGATGGAGCGGAGTGACGTGGTTCTGATTGAACAGCCATCTCCGCTCGCGGGACGATTTCGCACTGCACTGCAGTAGTTACGTGTTTCATCAGTTGGAGGCTGCTTCCATTCATTATAGAACTAGTCAACCTAATGCTGTGCTATTTACTACTAAGCTGGTCCTTTTCAAATAAATTTTAATATGTGCAGTTTGGTTCTTATTTACCTATAGCGGGTACATATATATGTATCATTTAATGGAAGCATTGCAAAATGTGTCATGTCATTGGCATTTCAGTTACACGTTGAAGGACTCCCAGGTGGACAAACTTGACCATAATTTGTTCATTGCGGCGAGCAAAATGTCCTTTATTTGTCCAGCTCCTGAAACAAATATTTTTATTTTTATAAGAATATCTGCTTCAAAAGTCACTTTTGCTGCTTCGAAAGACTGTTTTAGCTGCTCCGAAAGCCACTTATGTTGCTCCAAAACGCTGTTTTGGCTGCTCCCAAGGCCACTTTTGCTGCTTCAAAACATTGTTTTGGCTGCTCCGAAAGGTGCTCCAAAACGGCTGAGGCCAATCACATCACTGCAAGCCCCATTTTCCCATTGCAACTTTAAGAAAAATAACTTATAACTGATGAAGAATGCTCTGAAACCTTGGCATCTGGTCTGGACCACTATCACCATATTTGGACAGAGACTGAGTATTCAGAACGCATAGCTTTTCTTTCTTTCTTGCGGTGAAAAAAATTTTAGTTTCTTTGGGGACACCCTGTACTCCAAATAGGTAGTACCGTAAAATACCGGGCAAGCGCCCACTCAAACTTTGGAGATAATCACTAGAAAATGGGGGATGGGCGCTTGTCCGGTCATCAATTTTTACATATCAAGGTACTGTGCGTATTTTCTCAGATCTTACAAATTTGGGGATGGGCGCTTAATGTGGAATGGGCGGATGCGCGGTATTCTACAGTACATAGCTATTTTCCTCGAGATTAAACCGTGTTGCCACCGTGTGACCGAAATTCTCGACACGTATTGATACCGCGACGTCGTCTGTTGTGGAAGCACGTTGATGCATCTTGTTTACTGTTATAGCTAAGCTGCTCTAGCTGCATTTATTGCCTGTGTTACCTCCTGCAAAAGCTTGTATTGTTTCATGTGCGTAAGAGCGAGCCAAGAAGTGAAATGTTTTTATAATATTGCTGCTCTCATTTGTAGAATTGTAGGCGCATGTTTTTATCTTGGACAACCCACTTTCACAAAACAACAAATGTTCATCATGGTGGAAGAGCACTTTTTTCTTCGCCAAATGGGGCCGTTTTTTTCTGCGATTCGGTGTTAAATCGGCCCAATAATTCGGCATAGTACAGCCCTGTGACCGTTTTGCAATTATCCAGGTAGTCGATGTAGATCACTCCTTGTGAGTCCGAGAAAACGGTGGCCATCGCCTTTCCAGCCGTTAGGACAGT